TTTTAATAAAATAAATATTTTGATTATCTTAATTAGATATTAAAAAATATAAACATCCAAAGTTAACTAATTCTTCTTAATATTTTTTTTTAATTATCTAATTAGAATTAATAAAAGTTTTTTAGATGTTCAGTTTCTTTATGTTGATTTTATTATGACTGGATTCAGTAAATTCTTTAGTAAGTATTTGGATATTTCAAATAAAATAAAAAGCTTTGAATGAAAGTAATTTTAAAAAATCAATTTTAATAATATTAATAATAATCAAATAAAATTTTTAATTAATCAATTTATTTTTGTTATCAATTAAAAACATTATAAAATTTTTTGCCAACTTTATGATTAATACTCTAGTATGAATTTATTTAAAGAATGTTAAAGCTGGTGAGCCAACACTAGTATTTTTATTTGTTATTCGATTTTGGTCACATGATTGCAATCCGGATCGGATTGTATATTATATCTAGCTTAGTGGACCCAATTTAATATCAGTCGATTTAAGTTCACTATTGATAAAAAATGCTGGTATTTTTATTAAGACTAACTAATTCGAAAAGCAATTGATTGAATTTATACTTTTGGATTTATCACACCACTTGTATTATCGTTATACGGAAAATATTGAGCATTAAAAAATAATGAAATTTTTACACTGTCGCGACGGATACCAAATTTGGCCCCTAAAATCTTGTTACCATGGATTGATGTGGCAATATATAATAAACCGAATTACACTGACAAGGCAAAAACAGTTTTACACGTAAATTACTAATATAACGATAAGCTAAATTGTTTGTAAAGTCTAAATAAAATTATGCAGCGTGTATGGGATTGATTAATTATATATCGATGTGCATGGCGATTTATAATACACCTTTTTCATCTTTCCATTTTCTAACTATACCAACCATATGACAATATTCACTAGCATTCCCACCCTTTCCCTTTTTTCCCATAAATTGGTCGATCTTCCCAGTATTATATCCAGTATCAATTTCCGTTATATATTTTCTGACGACAGATTCAGCCATCACACCCCCAATTGTTTTAGCTACTTTTTGTGTATCCTTAAAGCGATCGTATAATCCTACAATCGTTTGTATTTTTCCTTTTTTCAAGAGGTGTGGTAATGCAAAGTATCGGTAAGGTTTGAGGACAAATGTAATACGAGATATCTCACTTGGTGAGGTGTTAGACAGAGTTAGTCCAATTCGAGGGGATGTGTATATTTTATGTGAATTTACAGGGGATAAGGATCCTTCTATACGAGGAGACAGTGCAGATTCTTCGACTTTTGGACGTTTTTTAGGTCTTTCATCCTCTTTGAGCTTCTCATCTATATCGATATATACCAAGTTATTTGAATTGTGCATGTTTTTAAATGCACCAATTTTTCTATTCCAAACATCCTCCACTAACTCCCGAACACTCAATATTCTTTGACGATCTTTTCCACATAATTCCATGATTTTATCGACAATTAAACTTGGGCCTTCAATAATTTCATTAGTCTTCAAATTTTGAATTGTTCTCAATAAAATTCCTCCATAAATATTTTCCGCCACAGATCCGAATGTAATATCTAAACCTTTTCTAGTGCCGCCTCGATATCCGGTTGAACCAGCACGATGAAAATAGAAATTACCAAGCATTAATTGATCATTATGACTATGCGCAAATGGATCTGAATGATTGTTCTTATTATTATCATTAAGATAAAATTCAATTTCGATAATTGCATATATTTCTTGTTTAATGTAAAGTCTCGTGTTGTTTATCAAAAAAGTTGCAATATCAGTAAAATTCGTTTCGTATGCCCCAGTTTTCCCATTTGATGATGATAATGCCGCCGTTTCTTTGATTGTTGTTAAAAGAGAAAGTATTGGGGATTTTTTAATTTGTTGGGGTGCGTCTGTCATTTTCTTTCAAAATATATCGAAAATTTGGTTATTGTTCTTTGGAAACGTGGCGTATGTACTTCAACATCAAAAAATAAGTTACACTTAGCCCTATTTGATTTTTATTACGTTTTCATACATTATATAACTTATGCACGCCTGCCACCGTTTGATTATCTGTAATAAACTTCCCAATTGGGTGTGTGTGCACTTTATTACCACGAGCGTAGATCTGCTAGACTCCGATAAAATAACTACCTCGGAGACGCGGTGATGATGCACGAAAAATTTTGGTTTTTCGTATTTTTTGATGATATATTCATCATGGTCTATTTGAGAGGCTCGAATTTTACAAAGATTTTATGTGGGAAACAAGGGGAATGGGTGAGCTAGCCCTTCAAATTCGACTTTCTACTCGCTATTTCTCGACTTTACCTTACGAATACTTTTATTACTACTGTGTCGATAGGGTTGGACCGACGACGGACTGGATTTAAAACCATGTTCAAGAGAAATGTAAGTTAAATTTGATTCAGCGAATTACTATATATTTATTTATCAAATTCATTTATATTAATAATAATAACTTCTTTTATTAAATACATATTCAAATGATATTCTTTCTCCTTTCTCGATTTCTTTTCATTTCTCTCCTTTCCACCAGTTTACTAAACAGTGCACTTCCTGTTACAGCCGTGGCCATATCGATAGTAACCCTTATTATATTTCAATGTTGTCGAAGGACATCCACCAGAGGTTCTTATACGTCGATTCCAACCACAGAGCAATTAGAAGCAGAAGAACGTGAAAGAGATCAATTCATACCGATATCTAAATACGATTATGGTCAACTTGTGATATCATTTATTCATCTCGGGTTCGTGGGTTTCTTATTTGGATGGAGAGTTGATGAATATGATGAAAAAAAACACAAGTATGGTGTATTTTGGGTAGTTGGTGCAATTGGACAATTTGCATCTTGGGTAATTATTATCAGATCTGAATGACTACGCATTATTTATCTATGCATTATAACATATTATCAATTAATCTCGATTATATATTCATTTTTAGCTTTATATTAGCGCTTTATTAGCATGTCATTTAATGACGAGGAAAAATCAATCACGATATGGATATCTAAGACATCTTTTGTTTCTTTACGCATTATTTTTTCTTACCGCTATTATAAATCTTCGATCTAATTTAAAAAATGATCAGCAAAAATTACGAGCTACTTTAGGATATGAGTTAGTGTTTGCCTATTGGAATGTAGCCGCTTGTTTTGTGTTATTTGCCCTTTCCATGTTAAGACCGCGTCATCCCGAATTAAGGCGTGCTCCGAGAAGACGACGTTTGTCTCGTGATACTACTGCCTCATTATGGGGTCTAATATCATTTTCTTGGATAAGTCCAATCATCAAATTGGGAAATAAAAGAGCCTTAACATCGGATGAATTATGGGAATTACCGCCCGAATGTCAAGCTGCTCAATGCTATGATGAATTAGATCGGTAGTTATATCTTATAAGTATCAAATCTGTTTCTGTATTTTATTTTCTATAAGTTAACGTCATTAATTATTTTTTAGATTAACAAATTTAGATTTGTTATCGCGATTACTTGTAGCAAATTTAACCAACCTTTTCACGTTTCTTGTAATTGCAATATTTCGTTCAATTTTCGCTTTTACCACTCCTTATTTTCTTCAACGTTTACTGGAATATATCGAAACAGAAAAAGCTGATACGCCGTCAGAATTACCGTATTTATTTATTCTGGGAATCCTGATTTCAGAATTACTGCGAGTTATATTTTTGAATCAATTGAATTATCAGGTGGTTTGGCTGGGAATTAGAGTCGAGCAAATGCTAAGTGTTATGGTCTATCAGAAACAATTACGTCTCAAATTATCACTCGCTAAAAATGGGAATAATAATCGACCTCACAATGTTCTCACAATGGATGTCGATGATATAGCGGGATTTTTTTCTAATTTACCTTTTCTATTAACTATACCTTTGGAAATCTTGGTGGCAATGATTTATTTAGCCAGATTATTAGGATGGTCAAGTATTATTGGGGTGGTTGTGATGACTATATGTTTATGGAGTAACAAAAAAATGACAAGACGCATTGGCAGATTGCAAAAACGAGTCAAGAAGGCTAGAGATGAAAGGGTTGGAGAGATCTTCGAGGTAATTTATTTATTTTTATTATTTTGAGAAATCGATTGTATTTATCACACTCATCTCATTTTTTTTTATCTAATTATGAATAGCTACTTCACGCAGTTCGAATGATTAAAATGTTTGCATGGGAAAGAAGTTTTCATGAAAGATTAATGTGTAATGCTTATCATTATCTATATTTGTTCAGATTATTAAGGGAATTGTTCTTTAATTAATTTTTTATTTAAATTTTCATCATAGTTTCACGGAAGATCGAATTAAACCAGATTCGAAAACTTTTTTGGCGTAACACAATCCTAACTCTTGTAGTTCATGTCACACCCTTCCTAGTTACGCTATTTGCCTTCGCCTCCTATACATTTGGCTTTAATAAAGTGCTTACCGCGTCAAAGACATTTACAAGTATTGCTTTGTTTAATACTCTTAAACAACCATTACAAATATTGCCAAACTTAGTCTTTGAACTTGTTGGCCTTGGGGTCGCTTTGAGTAGACTTGAAAGATTTCTACAAGAGGCCGATGTACAAAACGATAATCCGGTTTTTAGCGCGGATCTTGGTGATAATACTACAATTGGCTTTACCGAAGCTGACGTTGGCTGGAGTTATCAGATGAATAATATAAGGGCACTTAATGAATTTGTTTTGAAAGGAGTCGATTTAGAATTCCCGGTTGGAAAATTGAGCGTTGTCTGTACGTACGAGTGTATATTTTTTATTGGCTATTTTTTATGTATACTCGATGAATATATTTTTGTGGGTAACGTGTTTAATTGAATTAGGCGGTCATAAAGGATCGGGCAAATCTTTGCTTCTTTTATCATTGCTTCGCGAGACTTTTGTTTTACGTGGTTTCGTTCATTTTCCGACTACTTCCGTTGCTTATATCACGCAGAAACCATGGCTTGAAAAAGCAACCATACGTGATAATATAATATTTAGTTCAACTTTTGATGATGAACGATATTGGAATGTTGTGGAAACATGTAATCTCTCAACGGATTTTGAGAACATGGAACAGGCTGATATGACAGAGGTTTCTATATATTCGATATATAAATTAAACTTGACTATTTATTCAATATAATATTCTTTATTTTTTTATATTTTTCTATAACATTAGTACGATGATGAAAATTTGACTCTAACTGATGATCAAAAAGCACGTATTGCACTTGCGCGTGCCATGTATAGTTCAGCGCAGATATTACTGTTAGATAACTGTTTGGAGTCAGTCGATACAGTAAAAGGTAAAATTGATAAAAAGAGAAGTTGGAAAACGTACATTTGAAAAATACATCACTCACCATTATATTTGAATTATAGCACGTCAACTTATAGAAAGTTCACTCAATAGCCCTTTCTTATCGAATCGGACTGTTATCATCGTCTCTAATCACGTACGATTATTCTTGAATGCCGCCGAATTTATTGTTGTATTGGGAGATGGTGTTGTTTCTGCTAAGGGAACTCCCCAAGAAGTAACAGAGGCAGGAGTTTTGACAGACGAAATTCTTGGAACAGATACAGTTAATGAACAATTTAATTTTGATAAAACGGATGAATTATCAATAAATCAAGCATTGGAAAAGGCCGAATCAGATAAAAAGAATTGGGCATCTGAAGAGGGTAATTATTATTTTCTAATTCATCGTGAAATGAGAATATTGCTTATACCTTATTTTCTTATGATACTTGTCAAAAGCTCGAATCCAAGGCAAAGTACATCCTAGTATCTATTACTTCTATCTCAAATCCAGTGGAGGAATCTTTGTATGGTTTATTCTGCTACTGCTTTTCCTTATTATCCGGTTACTCACGGTCGGTGAGACTTATTTACTCAAAGTATGGTCAGAGGATAAAACCATTAACGGAGCTCTGACATTTCATATTGAAGATCAAACAGTACCAGACTCTGATTCAGATACACGAGGGGGAAACATCAAATATATAAAAATATATGCATTAATAGCGATTGCATCAGCAGCTTTTACTATTGTCCGAATGTCATTGCAACTTTATATTTCGTTAAAAGGCTCACGAACATTGTTCTCGAAATTATTAAATTCAATATTGAGAGCTCCGTTGAGCTTTTTTGACACCGCACCATTAGGAAGAGTGATGAATAGATTCTCGAAAGATTTGGGCATTGTTGATCAAGGTCTTTTGACAGTGATGGCAAGCTTCCTGGGCAATTTAGTGGGTGCAGTATGTGTACTTGCAGTTGTCACATGTGTTACATGGGAATTTGGGTTTGCGTCGATTATAATTGGTTTGTATAATTCGAGAATACAAGTTTTGTCGTGCTGCAAATTATTAATTTTCATTGTTATTTAAACTTTGCTTCAGCCATTTCGTACATAAAAATCGGAAGCATGTATATAAATGTTTCGAGGGAATTAAAACGATTACAGTCTATGACACGAACACCTGTAATTTCTTGGTTTTGTGATACTGTTGGGTAAGATGGAGAAGTTGATCATTGATAGAATCAAGAATCGACCTTGGAATATTGATTAGCTCTTTATTTAACGTGACAATTATATAGCGGCATAACAACTATACGAGCGTTTAATGCTGAAAGAAGATTCGTCAAGGAATTTATTGAAAAGTATGCAAAAAATAATTTTTTGGAAATAATTTTTATCCCGAATGTATGCTTCAAATTTTTAACAATATTGAATTTAATTAATACAGATTGAACGAATCTAATCGAACCACATACCTATTACATATGTCAAACCGGTGGATGTCACTTCGCTTGGGCACGATTGGCGCTTTTGCATCATACTTGGCCGGATACTTTATTTTGATGAATTTTCAGCAGATTGACGCCGGACTTGCAGGGTTTTCGCTGAGTTATGCACTTGGATTTGTGCAAATTGTATCCGTACGCATCATATTTGAACTTTTTACCAGCAATTCTGATTAGACGAATCACACTCCCTTTTGTGTATTGACTCCTTGTTGCTGATTAGATGCTTGTTAAGGATTACACGAGTATGGAGACAAGTTTGAATAGGTACATTTTTGTTTAGTTGAATGAATATCGTCATATAACTTGTAATTAACACAATCATATTATAATGTTTTTTGTAGCGTGGAGCGCATCGAAGAATACATTGAAATGCCACAAGAACCCCCAGCTGTAATTGATAACATTCATCCGCCTGCCGCGGTATTTATTATCTTTGAATATCTACATTTGTATTCGATTCATAATTTTCTAACAATATTAATTAATAAACGAATAGTGGCCAACAAATGGAAATATCGAAGTATCTAAACTCACGGTTCAATATTCACCCGACCAAGAAATTGTGCTACGTGATATTTCTTTCATGGTGAGAGCCGAAGAAAAAATCGGGATTGTTGGAAGGTAAAAGTCAACTCCCGGAATTATCAATAATTCGTGTTCCCTCTCCAGTCAATACTTTCCTTTAAAAATTGTAGAACAGGTTCTGGTAAAAGTACTCTGGCAAATTCATTTTTACGTCTTGTTGAACCTGTGGACGGAAATATACTTATCGATGGAGTAGACATAGCAAATATTGGATTAGAAGATCTACGTTCAAGGATTACAATGATATCTCAGGGTATGAAGTTTTTTGCGTGAATAGTTTTTTTCATCCCAAGGTAAATGATATTGCATATTAATTCACGCGTATTTGATATGGGGTTAATAGATCCAATACTCTTTGAAGGGAGCATTCGTTCAAATCTTGATATCCGCGGTGAATACGAAGATAGAGAATTATGGGAATCCTTAAGGCGTGTACATTTTGTTCAATTCAACGAAGAAGGCTCGACCAGTGATTATAGTCTTTTCATGTCTGGGCCAATACAAACTTTGGACGATCCTGTAAATGAAGGTGGAAATAACTTCTCGCGAGGACAAAGACAATTATTATGTCTAGCAAGAGCATTATTGAGACAGTCTAAGGTACTTAATTTTTTTTTAACTTTTGTTTCTTACAATTTAAAGCAATAATGATTTCATTTATTTCATAATTTTAGATAATAATTATGGATGAAGGTAAATTTTTCTCGACAAAACAATATATGGTTATTTAATAATTTTGTTCAAACATATTTTTATAGCAACAGCAAGCATTGATCCAGAAACCGATAACAAAATACAAGAAACGTTCAGAACGGAATTTCAATATGCAACTGTGTTGTGCGTCTCACATCGTTTTAGAACCATAATAGATTCGGATCGGATATTAGTTCTTGGTAAGCCGTAATCTGCTCTTGTTCTCCGTAATTCTTCGTTCAAATCACTATTATTATTTTATATTTATTCCTTTTAATAGACAACGGCGAAATCATTGAATTCGATACGCCATATAATTTAATAAGCAATCCGGACGGATTATTCCGACATTTATGCGAGGCGACTGGGGAATTAGAAAGTCTAATGCAATTGGCAAGTCTAGTTTCTCCGGACGGTATAATTTGCGAAACGCAGCCAGAGGTAGAAGATGAAGTAATAGATAACGAAAATACACCACAACAGCCATATGCACTAGATCCCGAAACTGGTGCAGAAAATCAAGGAGACGATAACAGCAATGATTTTTCAAGTCAAAATGTTGGTGAAGATGAACCATCTTCGCAAGATCTGAGGCAGTCTAGTGAAGTAGACGAGAATGATAATCGTGAAGAGGATGAACATGATGGTCACGATGAACAAGATGAGGAGGAAGAGGAGGAAGATCAGGAATATGAGGAGGAAGAGGAAGGGAATGATGATGAATCACAGGATGGTTACTATTAAACAATTATAAATAGAATTTGGGTTGGGGTATATGTATAGACTTGTACAAAATTCAGTGAGAACTTTTATCATGCAAGAATGCATTATTATTTATTGAAGAAAAACATTTGTAACGTATTGCAGTAGTTGTTTAATTTAACACTAAAATCCTTTTTTTCCCTGGGGAAATTTTGTAATAAATTAAATAATTAGAGAAAAGCTATATAACACAAAAATAAAGTTGTACAAATTGGCGTGTGTATTTTTCGAGAGGCTCTCTATATGTAGTATAATGTATGTGTCTATATGAATTACTAATAGATTTCGTCAAAGGGTCGAGTGTCATTGAAGCAACTTTCAAACACAGCCTCGACCACTTTTTCTGCTATCCCTGGTGCAGAGCAAGAGGTATTGTGTTTTACTGATAGTATGGCTCGTCGCTTTACACAAGCCTTTTTTCAGAAAATTGAAAAATTAATTCTCGAATAATTCCTCGTAATATAATAGTGATTAATAGAATTTATTATTCACCTGATGTTGTTTGGTGAAAGTGAAAAATCCTCGTCGAATTTCTCTTGACCATCGACAATCACCACTTAAACTAGCTGCGCGAACCTTTTAGATATCAAATAAAAAAAGATCAATCCCAGAAACCGAAAAATTTATCTCTCTCAAGCTCATTCCACAGAAAAAATTACCTCGCTACATGCGTGATGCCAACAATTATTCCAATCCACTTTAAATCGACAATGATCATACAAGTGAATCATTTCGTGAATCAAGGTATCCTCTTGATGTGCTTTGCTGAAAAAACGATTCTGACATAAAACGATGCCATGATCTGGGGAGAAACCCCCACTACGTAATTCATCACAGGGCGCACATATGATGTGCTGTGTTGAAATTTTACAGCCAGCTTTTTCCAGGTTTTCGCGCATAAATGTTACAACTGGACCTTTAAATAATAAAATATATTGGTGAACTATTAATTTTTTAAAACAGAAACACGCCAAAATACATTTTGTATGTAGCATATACATAGTAGTAGTATTATCAAACATTGAGCTAATTCGTTATTCTTCCATTACTATTACATACTCCACTTCAGCAATTTGTCTCTACGTTTTTCACAAAGCCCGCATTGTTTCCGTTGCATATCTTTAGCGACATAAGCTTCATGTTCGGCCTTTTCGACTGGTGTTAAGCCAATACCAGTTATATATTTAAGACTAAGCCGCCAACGCTCAAATTTTTTTTGTACTGTATCTGTTGTTTCGTAAGCTTCTACGACTTGAGGTTTTTGATCCTGTGTGGAGGGTGATGAGGAAGATACTGATGGTGATGAAGTAGAAGTTGAAGAGGACATTCTAATAATGATCGATGACTCATATTTGCGAAAATTTTACATAAAAATATAGTGCAACTTAACCCCCACGTGAAAAGTTCTCATAAATACAAGCGATATTTGTATTTTTTACACATCAAAGCAAAGATGAGAAGGATGACAATAATTATTTGAGTATTTCGCTTTTAATCCAACCTAATATTGTTGGAGCTATTTGTATTTCGAGAATATAGAAATAATATTTTCTTCTTGTCACATCATCATCAGCTCGGGTTTTTTTAAACTAGTTTCCAAACTAAAAAGATAATGCATACAATTCACGGTTTTGCTCTTCAAAATAAAGCAATAAATAATATTTACTATTATAACAAAAAAGGTAAATCTCGACTGTTGGGAATTTATTAATTTTATCATCAGCGTTAGTTTGACATCATTTATGCGTCATTTACGTCATTACATTTTTTCTTATAAAAATACGATGTCTTTCTTGACTCAATCAACCGAAATATTGACAACCACCTCCCTTGACAATAAAACGTAATACACATATTTACATACAAATTAATAATACCAAAAAATGCCACCAGTGGGAGTAACACCCAAAACCCGATCAATGATGCGCTTTCTCGCCATCGACCCAGAAATATTTCCGTTGATGGGTGTGCTAGTGACAATTTTCACTGGGGTCGGATACATGGTGGGAAGGAAAGCTACAAATGTCAATTCAGAAGGTAGTATTCGTATAGCAAGTAGTCAGCCGTTTCCGTGGCATCAACAGCATAGAAATGGAAAGGAAAAAGAAGCGGAAGGGGAAACGAGTAATGGTAATTACAAGTATCGGTTTCATAAGAATGCTGATTTGAATGAACAGATTCTCGAGGCCCCTGGAGCTATTACTGAGCATAAAGTCAGGGTTAAATTGCCAAAAGAGACTAAAGAAAATCTTCCGAAAGGAGTTAATTTAGATTAAAGATAATTATTGATTAATTAATTGACAATAACGATAAATATTAGATTTATTATGTACATTGATCTATTTTTTTACTTATAAAGCTATACAACATCATCTCTTTTTCTCGTAATGTCTCTTTTATGATCAAATAAAGATGGTAGATAAAATAAATTTCTCCTCCTCCTCCTTGGACTATTTATAGTATTATTATTATTATTTTGATTTTTTGCCTCTGCAGAAGTCCAGCTTCCTTTTCTGATCGATTTTCTTTTATCGTTTTTTTCCGTCAATCCAGTAGAAGTAGTTCCGATTGGACTATCAGTAAATGAGGCTTGATTACTTCCAATTGGACTATCAGTAAATTGAGCTTGATCACTTCCTGTCGGACTTTCGGTAAATGGAGCTTGAATTCCTGTTACTCCGTTTCTGTTTTCTTCATTATCATAACGATCCGCAGTTTCTCCATAAACAGATTCCCAAAACGCCTCATTTAAATCTTGACTTTTAATTGCAACCGAGTAAAGCATAATCTGCCAATATCCAATCCAATATTGTCGTTCCTCTCGCATGAATCCACTTAACAACGCATGTAAGAAATCGTATTCGTGTACACGAACATGTTCGAAAAACATTGTTCGGTCGTCTTCCGGTTCTAGTCCATAAAGACCGGCAATATTATTCGCTAGTCCGAGGAAACTTAATACATGACTTGGGTTTTGGTATAAGTTATCAATTAAATGATTTGTGAGGGAGAGACTCTGAAACCATTGTAGTGATGATGTTACTTGTAGTAATTTCACGTATAATGCAATTAATCCTAGTAGAATGAGTAAAGGACGCGCTAAAAGTGAGTATAAAATTTTGTGTGTTTTTCGAAAGTTTCGTTCCCATTCTGGTTTGCTGATTGTAAATTTCACGAAATCTGTTGCGGTGTCTATGAATGGCGGATCATGAAATTCTGTGATAAATGTAGAAGGCTTCATGTAGTGGATAAATTTAAATAATGAGAAAGTGGCAATTTTTTGTAATACTATAACTAAATTCTGAAATTCAATTCCTTTATTTAGGACTGAATGAGATAGAATAAATGCAAATACGTATATAAATGCAAAAATAAAATGAACAAGGAGAATAGCAAATTCAAGCAAATGACCTAATCCAGTTGCAGAAGTTAAATATTCTTGATGCGTTGAATTATGCGTAATAAAAGAAATTGCATTGCTAGTGTGATTACTATCAATAATAACATCTAAAACTTTGGTCTTATCTAGGGTATCAATAAATTGTCTAGTAATAAAAGCAATATTTAATGCTAATTGTCCTATTAATAATACAACATGACCATATGAGTGTAGTCCCAATTTCTCTTCCACCAGGGTTTTCGCCATCGTTTGTAAGAATAAGACAGTACTCGGCAACGGAGGTTGAAATTCATTCCATCCGATCTTTTTTTGTTCGTTTTTCTTTACAAATTCCACAAATTTTTTTCTCCAATCCCAATATTCATTTTGTGACCGTGAATGATCGAGATTTTGTGTGGTTTTCAGGTAGTTTGCGTAGGATTTCCAGAAATCTCTGAGTGGTCGTTGTATTAACGTGGTTTCTGATGCTACATTTTTATAGATTCTCTCTATTTGTTCTTTGGTTGAATGGGAACGTGTATAGTTTACGCGTCTTTTGGTTCTGTAATTATTGCGGTCTATCATGATGTTTGTATATATTATAACGTCTACGTAAATTTTAAGTTTTTGAATCTAATTTGGGTTTAATTAATTGATTATAGAGTGCAAAGATACAGTTCAAAAAAGACCCTGCACACGCTGTTTATATAAATTTAAATCGGATTGAGAATTCCGCTTAAATTGAGTTTAAAAAATCTCATTGTATTTATTAATATCGGATTATTTTTTTCCTTTTTTCTCTGTCTATTTTTGTCGTTGTGTCCTAATGTAATCTTTTAACTGCAGATGCTACAAAAGACACAAAAGCATAAACAAGAATCGATTTTTCCACAAGGGATTAGATGAGTTTTATATCGATTATTTGCGAATTAAAATGTTTTATGTTATTATTTTCTTTGTTGTATTAACATTATAATGTCACTGTTCAATTTGATTGCTACGTAAATAGATTTTCGATTTGTAATTATTCTATTTTCAAGCGCAAAAGAATCAAAACCATCTGATTCGATTCAATTCTGCGTTATTCACAATGAATGCACTGTGCCAGAGAAAAGTTTTGCGACACGTAATACACGTATATATGCACATGAGTGGCGCGTTATTAGCCAATAAATCCCTTTCCTTTCTTATTTTCTGTCCCGCAAAATGTTCAAGGGGAACATTATGAATTTTAGCCTTAATAATAATAAATAGGCACGTTTGCTTCTATCGTGCTACAATGTTATTATCATTACTACATGTATGGTAAAATACTGCTACCAATGTTACAAACTGATATCAAATCGAGCAACCCGATTTCTTGTTACGTTGTATTATTGCCAAATAAAGGAGAGAATAAGTATTCTAATTTGTCATAATGCTGTTTTACTAATTTTGTGCTAATTGTGTTTTATTTGGACCCCGGAATTCTATGAAGGTGTATTCTATGATTACGTATACGTAAAAATAATTTGAGGCTCGGTATAAATGCGCAGTAGAATAATTACAGTCGAGTTGTAATAATAGGAAATCGTGGATTATTTCAGTTTCCAATTACAGTTTCTAATAGATAAATTGATGATAAATGCTATTTAACTAATATACAGTTCACACCCGTTTATATGACAACATCGGAACAGATAATAACGAATTTGTCATAAGTAATAGGTATGAATCAGATTTTGATATCAATGAGATACATCACTTGAATATTTAAAAATCCGCAACCGAAAATAATGACGAAATAAGTAATATAATAAGATTTAAGCGGAATGTGCATAAATATGAACTAGTTCAGGTTAGACTTTAGTTAGATCTTTAACATTATTAGCTTTAACGTACATTAAAATTATTAACTCGATATTAATTTAAATTACAATTGTTTAGCCTTTTGACAAGTTTTGATAATAGGATAATGTCGTCATAATGTTTTATACTCGAGAGCTTTCTTTTTAATAAAAAAATTCAACCAAAGATGTAATATGATAAGTTATCAGTTATTATAAAAGTTTCACTATCAATATGATACAAAAAGATAAAACTAACGCTAACATAAATACTAATTACATTTTACACTTTTAATCTATCAACTGGAATGAATTATATCTTCTAAAAACTGTTACTCCTAGCTCTAGTCCACTGGACCGGAATACGAATGCTCCAGTCCAATTGCAAATACTGAAAAGGTACATCTGAAATAGCATTTTGTTCTTTGGGTTAAGGTCCTTTTGACAATACGTACTTTGGATCGATGCTGGCTTTTTGATGAAAAATCCGGAGGAAATATCGGATATCTTCATTTGCAATAAAATTGTTGTTTTCAATTGAAATTGACGAAAATCTTTTATTTTATCTGAGATTATATTCATTTTCGCTTAGTATTCTATGCTGATTTCTTATACTTTAGAATTTGTTTAACTTTGTCTTGTTATGCGTTTTTTACGTATTGCGATTTAATTAGTATCTTATACAATCAAGAAAATATATTCATCTATTGAAAATAACGTCCCTTCTTTATAAACTTATTCGTGATACAGTGAAAAAATAGTTTCTGAACCTGCACAGCGAAGTTTATTTTATCAAAAACACCAGAAATGAAGATGCATACTTAATAAACATATTGATATAAAAATCGGAAAATGATATTTTTGAAGATTATAAAACCTAAAACAAAGTAAAGAAAAGAGGATATTTATGATATCTCAATTACAATATAATATTTCGAATGCTACTTGGATAAAATAAAAATTGCTATTAATACGACTATATTCATTTCTTTAAACCATGAAAAGTCACTTTCACTTCATACTCAGGATTCTCATTATTTTTATTAATGCGATTTTCATCCTTATTATTATTTTCATCTTTCCGCAACTCATTGGCTCTTGAAGAAATACGACCTCGCAATCTATAAGCCATCCACATAGTAACTTTATCTTTTCCTGGTTTCCAATTGTCAGGAATTTTTGCTTCTCTCAAGAAAACATTGGCCACATCAACTTCCACTTCTCTCTCATCAGCCCCTATTACATTCAACAATAGAGACGCTTCGCCAAAAGCGTTTGAATGCTGGTCCGATTCGAATACGAATTCGGGATTAGCAGTTTTTGATTGATCGTACCGGAGATTTCGTGCTTTTGCTAGTGAATCAACGTTCAGCCTGTTGGTTTCAGGTGATGCAAACGAGAGAAGTTGTGTGATTAATGTTTGGTTCAGTTGCGTTGATGGGTTTGCATCAGTTGAAAAGTATTTGTCGTTTCTTGTTAATGAAGCGTCGTGTTCAATGATGTTGTGTTCAAAGAGATCCGCTAACGATCTAAATATTTAGGAAATAAAATTAGCAATGAATATAAATATAAGCATAAATATAAATATAAATAGATACAATTGTCCATTATTTCCAAATTTGTGCATAACAACTCTGGCCATAAGACTTCCAAACCAACTAGACACGCCTAAGTGTTCATCCAACGCATCTCGTATTTGTTGAACAGTCACGTTGTTACCATCACGTGGTCTACATTTAAATTATCAAATTTAGCAAGTTTGGTTTTTTGTAGTTTTTATGAAACAACTAATAAATACATGTATCCATGATTCGCTAACACATTCAACGCTGGACAAGGAGATCTCTGATCATTTGGACCTGGTGGTTTCCATTCTCCTGGTACACTTACCAAGTTTACTGATGGAAAAACTGCGTTTACTAATGGAAAAACTACGTATATTACTAATAGGACAGTTGCTATTATACTTATGAGCAAACTATAGAATATGGAATTGGACTTTTGTGATGATTTGAATAAAAAATTCATTTCTTTGATGTTTGTTCTTTTTACAATGAAGGGAAGTAATGAACAGGAGAGACAAAAGATTTTTTCCTAACCAGTTTTTTGACTTGTCAGTTATTTATTTCTAATTTAATACTGTATTCCGGTAACCAATTGTCAATATTTGTGTCTGTGATTTTTGTCATCGTCGAATATCTCCGATTCGGAAATACTATATTTTAACACTATAAGATTGTGGTTAGGGTTAAGGTTAGAGTGAAGGACAAGATTATATATAAAATTACCTCACCGACATTTTTTATTAGTGTATCAAGCTAGATTTTGACATCTGTTTTCCACATTTTCCACATTTTTTATTTTCTTGTGTCAAAGGCCACGTGATTCAGCACTGTCCCAAAGCACTGTTCGTAACACGCAAAATTCAAAACAAACGAAAAATTGCAAATAACTCAAAATTTTACTATAAGAACTAGCTTTCAACCTCTAAGTAGAAATGCTCAACATGAGATTTTAGATATAGTCTAATCGTAGAGTTAACACCTTATCTAACAAAATTTCTAATAAATTTGAAATTACGCTTTAACCTTGGGTTTGTCATGTGATATCACAATGGTATGAAAATCATGACCGTGGGGAATTCTTAGATCTTAGATCATTGTCCGAAATGCAACAATCATGTAAAGAATGTTTTCAAGCGCTTGGTTGTTTCGATTATAACGCCGCGAATAAACTTGTAAATAAGGCAATCAAGGTATCTTTTCGGCTAAACTATAAACTTTCTACCTTGTCAAAAATCAAAAATCGGAAATGGACTATTTTTAGTTATCTTCAGGAGCAGGGAGCGTCTTTGCTGCTTTAACCAAATGCGAATCAACTTACACCTCATTAGAATTTTTGAAAAGCAAATTATTTCGAAAAGATGATGTGAGTCTTTTTTGGTGCTTATTCATCATGGAAAACACGACTTTGTTTTGTTAATCATGAAGATTAAATTGTAAGTTTTATTCGCTTCGATAGTTTCTTGTAATTCAATACATAGAAACCGTAAAAGAAATCCAAAATGCCGTAAAAACACTGAAAATATCACCGAATGGAACTGATCCGTTGGATGTGGAGTATTTTATTGATCTTTGTGAAGGACTACAAGAGTTTATGGTAATTCGTCAAGCTCAGATTCACATGTATGTAAAGAATTTGGTTGTAAATTTTCTAATGATTCATGTATGCTAAATTCTTTGATTTTTTTCGAGTTAGATTTAGAACGATACAGAATGCATTTACAGATCCAAAGAATGATTCGATTGTTAAAGAAATCGAATCTCTCAGAGAAAGGGTAAACACATATCAACTCAAAAAGAAAATGGGACCGTTGGGCATTGGCGTTGAGTAGGTAATTTTACGAATTGTGTAGACTGGTCGATAAGATATTTTTTTCAAAGCTTAACCTCTTTCGTTCATTGATTGATTCGCCACTAAAAGGCATGAATTAGTCATGTTTCATGATTTACTTATGGCGCACAATGCAATCGTCAATTATAATTTCAAGGATGCGACGATTTTTATGTACACTGCCAGAATGGAGTTAAATACATGGCGAGAATTATGCTCAAATCAAAGCTATTCTGAGGTGAGCCCAAGTTATGGTGTTTGCCAAGAATTTCAAGAGAAACTGATTATTTCCTTCTAATGTTCCAGAAATCCACAAATAAACTCGAAGAAACATCAAAAGGTTTTGCTTGGCATAATTTTTTCTCGACAAACCCGGAGGTAAATTAAGTAAATCAACAAAATGCTTTTCATTAGCAAAAGAATAATATTAATTATTTTACATAGAAACAATCCAAGGGCGGGAAACGTGACGCCTCACCGAATTATATGCAGTGGCTGAAAAAGTTTCATTCGAATTTAACCGCAAATATGACTTTATACTTTATGAATGTTTTGTTGGATCGAGAACAAATAATGGGCGGCGATTTGAGATCACTTTGGAAAAAGATCGATAAGATTGACGCAGAAGATTATCATGGCTTGTAGGTGTTTATTTATCTTCTATATCTTATTCAACATGGTCGCATAACTTTACTTCATCCGTGTGACATAGAATTCGATCATTTCGGAAAAAATCTGGAGCTCATAGTGTTGCCTTGATTTACGAAGTAACAGATGACATTAAATTTCATCAACAAGGATATGTTTGTGCCGGTGTACCTTATGAGAAACCTACTGGGAAAAATTCATTTCCTTTTATTTACTGTTATCCAAAGGTAACCTAATCCATAGCAATTAAAATTTGTGTTCCTTTCCACCTCGACCATACAATCATTACTAATCATCACTTTTATTCTTACTGTTCGATAATATATTAGGATCTTCCTAAAGAACACTGGCCAAACATTATTTCGATTATGCAAAGTCACGATCCCACCAAATCCACACCATTCTATCGAAACATTCCAATCCATTTCTACGACAAGGGATTTGGTAGCACGTATTATATGATACGTGTAGATGCTCATGTTGGTCTCGTGATCATTTATATGGATAAACACGCTACACCTGACACTGCTGCTTCTGAATTCATTATGTCGTTGGCGAATAGATTGAGCGGCCTTGATATTTCGCAAAGTTTACAGAAATTCAACGACTAAATGAAGCAATTTTACTTTGAACTTTAGGTGGGTGGGTGGGTGGGTGGGTGAGTGAGTGAGTGAGAGATAGTCCGTGAGGTAGGAAATCTTTTCCATGTGAGCAATGATATTGGTAATGGAAAATAGATACGCCTATGCATCCTTTGCATAATCGGACTATTTTTAATCTGTATTTAATCCAAGCTATTTAATATTAATCGATCAATAATATACAAAGAAAACTTTATAAAAGCGCTGTACATATGTGCACACATACAACACAAACCATAAACAGAGAAATTAGATAGAGAATCACGTTTATTTGTCGAAAATATTCAAAGGAAAGTTCTAAAATTCTTTACGCTGAGACTAATGAATGATCAACGCTATGCAGTCAACTCTGTTTATAATAAGCCTTTTTATAACGAACACGGAAAACTATTATAGTAAATTTGATATAACGAACTTTGTGTAACAAAAGTATAAATACAGAGTGAATTTACGCGTTTCTTAACAATTTAAAATTTCTGACGCGCGTCTTAAGTATTCTTTGATAATATATTTTCGTCTGATGCTGATGACCTCTTCACGACTTTACGTAAATTGGATAATCATTTGTCTACTTTCCAATCAAATTCATGTTAAGGTTACATAAGAAATATACTATAAATAAATAAAATGTGATGGGAGTAGTGCTGTACGAGAAAAACGTTTTAGAAGATGCGCGGTTTTTTGCGTGAGAATAATATTAGATTTTTTTGACAAGCATTTTGTGCTATTGAGAAAATGCTTCTCATCGGATTGTGTAATTCATACGAAGTACTTGAAACATGGAGATTTTGCATCTTCTCGCTTGCTTGTTAACGATTTGAAGAAATTGAAGTGAACGCACATATTTTCATCGAAGTCAAACAAAGGAATATTAATTTATTAGTTTCTTTGGATTTTTTTATTTACCGCCGCCATCTGGTATGAGATCATTGTGGCGTTACGCAATTCACCAAAACAACATCTTGAGAAAATTCTTTCATCTAAACAGTTCATGTGTCTATTATTAAATCGAACGTGTTTAAATTGAATGCGATTTAATCCTAATATGGCAAATTTGACAGTTTCTCCGTTTTACTTGTAGTTAGAACATTTTGATGATTACATACATGTTTACATACGTGTTTCGCGTCTTTTTAATAAAAATGTGATTTTCATTTCCTACTTTGTATCATCAAGGAAGTAAGTAGATATTTATTTTTAGTCGATCCATTGTTTTACACCGTGTTCGGACGGTGTTGGGATACTAATGAAAAGGTATATAGGAGAACATTCCCTCATGAAAAATAAATTAATTGACACGCAGATTTTATGTACTGAAACATGACAACTGACCTTATTAATTCATTAATGGAAAAATGCATCACGTCTATCATCAAATGTAATATTTAAATATTCATCAATTATGGGCGTGGATACATGTATCACACCGACCGTCGCGTAAAAAATGAGTGCCCTGGGGACAATATGTGATACCTTGAAATTTTGAAAGGTGCTACTAGTGCCGAGCACAATGAGGCATATATGTAATGTATGGATGCATGCATGCGCACGTCTGATTTGTCACTTTTGGAAGTTTGATGATATGATATGATCGATGGGAATGCGTGTGAAAAATTTGTTTGTCGAATTAACGGGTTTCAATCAATGATGATAATAATCGTAATCTCATGTAGTTGTTATCAAATATTGAAGAACATACCTCTGATTACGCATGTGTCTATTTAATACTGCTCGTTCGTCTACCCGCCCAACTGCCATCCAATTAAAGAACGTTAACAGTCATGTAAATCGAATGTATTTTCATTTTTATTTATCTTTGCTGCAGTACTATGCTTTGCTATGTGTATTATACATGAAAACTTACGCCGAATATTAAAATTATTCGAGAATTTGAAAACTCATTATATCAGATTTTACCATATTGTGTGTGTCATCTTTTTTTATCTTTTTCATCAGACTTTTTTTTCGTGGTTACAATCGCTAATTAAATTCCGGTTCGTGTTGTAGCGTATCATCAAACACGCATAGAACGCGCATACTTGAGTAAATAAATCCATCCCCCAAAACATAGGAAAATATGGTGACATAAACATCACCAGGTTATTGAGTCTCCCCTTCATCAGAGTCTAGTTCTCTGTCCGATTAGAGTGATCGTCCATCAAATTCTCGTGTTCGTGTCACATAAACCTTTTATTTATTTTCGTGTAACCAATCCTAACATTCTTTTTGTATCTTGGTTCATGCCAAAAACATCTTTTTTAAATTGATTTAATTTCGCCATTGACTGACTGAATAAATCAAATTGATTAATTACTATCGTATTATCTCATTGGACTTGGAAACTCCTCAGCCGTTTCCATCGTAGTTCTCGTTAGTCATTGGCCAATAATAGATAACGATCAACCTGTAATTGAATTAACTACCAACCGAAAACAGAAAGGTGATATCGACAACATCTTCAAAGGGAAGTATCAACCCCTATTAGATAATAGAAATCCCGAAGTGTAATCCTTTAAAATTGCTGTTCCACGGGAAGGAAATACGTCACCTCTTTACTTTTGTAAAAAGAATCTTTTTCCTCCCTATATCATTTCCCTTACTAACGTGCGTACATGTATCTAATTCAATCGACATTCAACTATCTTTTAGTAATACGAACTGCCTTTTCATCCTTATTCATCGTTTTACATCCCTTACTTAACAAAACCTAGCATCCAATCCTACAACGAATCCATCGATCGTTGAGATATCTAATTGGTGTTGCCGTGGATTATTACAATCCAAAGATTAGTTCATTATCTCCTCCTTCTTCCTCGTAATCAATTATATTATCATTGTTCATAACGATAATATCAAGGTAACCAAAATATTTATTGTGCGATAAGCAAAAAAAGTGGGGAAATAAAAAATCCGAATATATGCTCATCTTTTATTCTAAACCCCGTACTGCCTAATAAAAGAAACGAACCTTATGGCTTTTTGGAACTTCTCAATTTATATATAAATATACTGATATACATATGAATATACATATACATAAAAGTATATATATCGATATATATATAAAAGATGATACGATATTTTGTATATATATAGTTTCAAAAACCGTATCCTGGATTAAATTTCTCGAAAGCGAATAAAGAACAGAAAACCACTTTCATTCATAATAGTACTTGAGATAAATTTTTCTTAAAAAAAGAATCGTGAAAAAAACAATTTTTTTCTCTTATTTATTATTATTTGTTGTAATGCCTTTTACATTTGGTTGTTTGCCAAAACGAAAAAGAGATAATTCTAATAGTGAAAATAGCATTAGAAGTAGTATTCATAGCAGTAATAACAGTATTAATAAGGGAAAAAATTGTAGTGAAAACAAAAAATCTATCAAGAATGAGAATATTATAATTATTAATACTAGTCGTAATAATAATAATAATAATAATAATAATAATAATAATAATAATAATAATAATAATAATAATACGAATAATAATACGAATAATAATACGAATAATAATAATGATAATTCAAACGCAAAAACGAACAAACCTCCACTTACTGATAGCGACGAGAATAATCAACGACAATCTCCGATACCACTAAATCTAACTTCATCGTCGACAATTCGGTCATCAAACAGTCCTCAAATCTTACCAACAAGACAAGCACAACTTACCCCAACAACTAATCCTCACACGTTACTCACTTTACCATTAACGCGAACAGGATCTTCTCGATCTTCATTTTCATTTTTTCGGAATCGACATAATAGAAGTAGAGGTGGTGGTGGTGGTGGTAAGCGAAGAAAAACATCAACAAATAGACACGGTGATTTACCAAAATTCCGAGAATTTTGGCTTAAAATATGGTCTTCTGCTTCAGGATCATCAATAAACGCGGCAACGACGACATCCATAGCACAAAGCCAAAATTCTCCGATTATTACGCCCTCAAAAAAAGTGTCATCAGTATTGAAGTTTCCAAGAACACGCCATAAGAAAAGCGTGGACAATAAATCACCGTGTGATCGAATTAATAGTAGAATAGTAGTGGTAAATAGTAATGATATTAACGAGGATGATGTTCTTGACGAGTGTAATCTTAACAATGATATCGGAACGACAACGGCAATAAGAAGTCACTATCGACAATCGACTACGGATACAAATGCAACGACATTGTCCACCGAAACTATCAATAATAGCACATTTGAAGAAAATGATGAAACTATTGTAAATTCCACTGCTCCGTCTTCACCTTATGCGGCCAAATTCTACGAATCTCCTGTTGAAGATCACGATGCTGATGAGAATGTGATGGTGAAGGAAGAAAAGGAGAAAGTTGATCTTGTTAGTAATGTCACTTCAACAATATCCTCACCTCCTGCTGCAGGTATAATTCCCGAAGACTGGAATATAAATAAGAAAACTTCATTGATTGAAAGACTCGCCACTTATCCACGTCGTTCTTCAGAATCAGAAATTCTTTTTCAGAAAGGTCGATTCACAATTGTACGTGAAAGTAAACTCCTTCCGTCCCCATCATCACCAAGTTGTTATAGCAGTAATAATGATGATAATACGCGTGTTCCAAAAACTATTTCTGCTTTCACACCGAGTTCCATAAAGGCACAAGTGTTAAACAATAAACTACCACAGATCAAATCTACAAGTTTGCCAGAACCACTTCAATCGAAAAAACTACGCGAGAGTTTATTGATTAGACCAATGAAAAGTCAGATGAAATTCATTCCAAAAAACGAAATTCCAAAATCGTATCCTACATCATCATCCTCCTCGTCCTCATCCTCATCACCAAGAACAAAATCGTTGGAACATTATAATAGAAAGTTACAAAAACCCTTTACCCTTGTAAATAATAACAAACCTCGTTCTTATTCACTACAATCAGCACCACCTGTAAATAATAACAACTATAATAAAACATTTATGCAAGTTCAGGATAAACCCAGACCATCTTCGTTATATGCTGCTACTTCTGCTTCTGCTGCTGCTGCTGCTGCTTCTAACTCTTCCGATAATCAACAACAACAATCTATGCAAAAGTCGAATCCAAAATTTCTTCCTTTATTACGAAGTCGTGCATCATCTTCCAGCTCTTCTATCACCGCCTCTTCATTATCAGAAGCAACCGTTACAGTGACTGTTAACACTTCATCCGGCAGAATTTTTGAAGTTGGCAATTCATCACCCTCTTGTTCATATTTCTCTGAATCAACTCCCCCATCTCCTGGAATGACTAAAATTCCTGGTACTCCTGGTTCTTCGAATCCAAAACGAAGAATTTTTATTGTGGAAACGTTTGAACGGAGTCAATTTGCAACATAATAGAAATTATTTATGATTGTAGATTTTATTTTCGTTATTTCCTCTCCCACATTTTGTAAATATTAAAAATTGTATTCTTTCCTTCATTGTTAAATCATACTTCGACCTTTGTATTATAGTTTTTTACTTTATCTACACCTTTTTATCATTCTGTTAATAGTAACGCGAAAAAATAAATTTACACCGCAAACGGCGAGTAAATCCCTTCAGATTCGAAAAGAAAGTTAGTGATGACGGCAATTCATCCCGTTAAATGAGATTTCCTTTTCCCTAGTTCTTAACTCAAAATCATATTATTTCTTCCTATCAATTATGACATGCATTTGTACTCGAAATCCTTCCTTCAGTTTTATAGCGTGAAATAAACTCGAAATCCTTCCTTCAGTTTTATAACGTGAAATAAACTCATTAATTTTATAGTGTGAAATAAAATCGAAAACGGAATATTAAGTGCCGTGTAATATTGCATCGCAGACGATATTTGTTCAATAATCCATTTTTCTATCGGGGAACTATAATGCTTAATTCCCATCCGTGAAAATATCACATATATACACCACTCTATGGTGCATAACATCTAAAGTCATCAAACGTTTGTATTTTATAAAATGTATAAACTTCTTTACTAAGAAGTAAATACAAAATTTAATCCGTGAATATGATAGAATAGGTCCTTTCTGAGCATATTCACGGATTAAATCTTGTATTTACTTCTTTATAAAATACAAACGTTTGATGACGTTAGATGTTATGCACCATAATGACAATAAAACTACGTAATAGAAAAATTTCGCAAATGTAAACCTGGATTTATGAAAAATTCCCAAATTTCATGTGCAAAATGTACCAGTTCATTTTAAGATATTTTTCCATGTAGAAATTTCTCTCATCACATCATAAATCAAATTATTTATTAGTTTGGCGTACATTTTTCCAGGCGTGAAAAAAATGACATAACCATGATGAAATATAAAAATATAAATATCATTGTTAAAATAGTAAGCCAGCAGACAAGATTTGTTGATTTATATTCTTTTCTCCTGAAAATACAAGTTCCAAATTCATATTATAAACGAAATGGTCGAAGTTCAAAAAGGTTCTCAGGATTCCAATAAACCCGAAGTCCATGCTAAAATTCCTACTCCACAATATCCGGATCCAAATGCTCCAAAGGTGGAAAAAACTGTCGGTAGTCTTGCAACCTTGAGTTCTAATGTGGATCCTTCAACGCATGCTGTTATGAGTGCTGTTTGTGAATATTCTTTTTTAAATTTCATATATATATTATGAAATTGCGAGTTCGGGATTCTAAGGAATTTTGGCACTTTAATTAATAGGCGCGTTTGGAGCCGGATATGCTTACCAGTTCATGAAGCAGCCAAAAACTGCTGCTCTTGTAGCTGGCATCAGCGCCGCTTATGCTGGCTCAACGTATTGTATTTTTATTTGAATTATTGTTAAAAGAAAATAATTTTGATCAATCATTTGATACTTTCTTCTGTCAAAGATATATGCTCCATCAAGGTCAAACTCAAATGGGCTATTGGATCGGTTCCGGTAAGGCTAATAGTAACACAAATAATCCTCTCGTTTACGCACTAATTCTTTAACATTGCATTGATGAATAGTGGCCTCAATCGGTCTTCTCGCTTTGACTGGTCCAAAAGCATACGCGCATAAGGATCCTTTTAATGTCGGTTTTGCAAGTTTTGGAGCATTAGGGACCGTTGCTAACACTTTGAAAGCTTATCAACAACGAACTGGTCGGCCACGGGAATACAATATGCAAAAGTGAAAATAGAAAGCATGTAGACGAATATCGAGTACTAATAAAGAAATAATGTGACCAAGTCTAGCATAATAATACAACGAGCATGTATTTAAACTAAAACTAATATTCATTGTATGCAATATATGTAAAGTTGGTACAATTGAACTTTTGTCTTGATTGATCTTCAGTGATTTTTTTTTAATTCGACTCCCCCGAATTTTGAGGGATTAATTAATCTTGACACCATTTGTTCGCAATTACTGGAAGATGTATCACATCCAATATTTATTTTTGTGCTGCTGATAATAAATCGCGAAACTAATTAAAAACAACTTCGAGCTTTTCCAAAACCATCCATCAAGGATAAAATTTCTGGCTCCGATGGACTTGCCCGTGTTCTCATCAAATACATAGAAAAAGAATGGTATTTCGGTGGCCGTTTTCCCGATTGAATTCCTTTTTCTTGTCTTTCGCCCGCCCTAAAAATACACAGAGTACACAAACCGAACCATTCACTTCTTGCGTTTGAATATATGCATAGAAAATAAAAAATGTGCACCAAAAAAGGGTTATTGTTACATGTATATAGAATATCAGTATGGATAACCGGATGTGTATGGTATGGTGATCAAATGTCATAGTATGGATAACACATACTACTGGGATAACCGATCAGTATGGTATGGATAACTGATCAGTATGGTATGCATCACGTGTGTAAAATGCATATATACCGATACGATAATACTGTATATGGATAGTATAGAGA